GCTCTTATATGAAGGGGAAGGGAAGGAAATTATAAGTTAATGTATCGATTTTCACCACTCTATTTGGATATACTATATATATATATATACCATATATATAAATATAAATAATTTTATGATATGTTTATCGCGTGACTTTAAAACGTGTTGATTTCAGCACTTTTTCATCACTTTTCCTGTCGTTTTTCACATCAATATATCGTTCAAAATAGGAGAGCTCAAGCTTATCACGAATATTATAATATTGTATATTATAATATGTAATATTAAGTTATATATATATATATATATATATATTATATAATATACAAAAAATATATGGTATGACTGTTGTTTGGACACATATAACAGTTTTCCATAACAATCGGTTGCGATGGCCTAATGGTTGTAATGCTTTTCACTTTTTAATGACTTCTCGGAGCATATTATAGTTGATGGTTAGGACATGTATGTATGTATGAGGATATGTGTCTATAGTTGCATACAATTTATTGCAATTGAGTATTGAATAGCAAATACCACTCACGGAAACGTCTCGCATGACTCGCATCAGGCCTTAAGAGTATGTATATTAGACATCAATTGTATGCTTCATACCATTACCACCAACTCCACCACCACTACCACCAGGACCACAGCCATCAGCACTAGAACATAGAGCCGGTGCCCAATCACTTGACAGTGTCATTGATTTCTCTATATTTTCTACATTTAATACAAGCAGTTATAGTATATATTCAGCAGACAATCATATCATAAGCACATATCCTTTGCTGACAAAAGACATTTGACTACAATAACAGACCCGACTTATGTCATCCCAATGTTCACTTCTAATGCTTTAATGACTAAATTTATGGATGTCTTTCAATGGATCCCTTATTCAAATGGACACAACAGCTCTGAATATCACATCAAATGACAGGAAATCATGAATGAGATCGCAATTGATTTCTTTCCTGAACTGACAGCACTTCCACTTTTGCCATATTTTGTCAAATTTTTAAAACAAACAATAAAAACTTCACCACATTTTCCACAACAATATTATCAATATATATAAATGTAGGGATCAAGTGATGCACTAATAAATTAGTTAATGCATTCAAATATAGAATCCGTGCATTTGATAAATATATTTATGTTAAACGATGCGATTAGCAAATCATCAAAAACTTTATGAACAGCTCAACAGTCCTAATATTAGTGGCTATAATGATAGTAGAAATAGAGAGAGAGARAGAGAGAGAGAGAGAGAGAGAGAGAGAGAGAGAGAGAGAGAGAGAGAGCACAGAGATCTGACAATTTTTCACATGACAGACACTTTTGTGAAGCTTTTCTCTCATATAATTTGCTAAACATTGAACACTCGTTCAAATGCATTGTTTTTTATACACTTTTTGTGTTTGTCGTCGCTTGCAATCGCTTTAAAGACAAACATTAATACAAATTACTTATTTTTACTTAACTATAGTAATTCACGTCATGAATATATATACTATACATTAAATAGTTGCATTGGTTGAGTAAATAAGCTAGTTAAGTTTTATTGAACATATCATTATTGTTAAAAATTACATCTTTACGCAACACTTGATTTGATTAAATTACATCAAATTAAACGTAAAATATATTTATTTATTTTTTTTAGTTTAACAGTATATATCCAAATTAAATATTTTATTATTATTTATTTTTTGTGTTTTAAATTTATTAGTATTTTCATTATGTTAATTAATGCTATTATAATTATAATTTTTAATTTATCATTTAATTAAAATCTATTTAGGTATATATTCTAATAATAATAAATTAAAAATATGTTAATTTATAAGTATACTAATATTTATTTGATTAAAATAATTATTTATTTAATAGTTAAGTTAATTATTAAAATTTAATAATTTAATTAAAAAATATTTACGCAAGCTAAAAAATAGAATAAATATTTTTTTGTGTTTAAAAAATGACATTTGTGCTAGATATTAAATTTACTATAATAAATAAAACGTATAAAAATAAGATATTAATTTAGTTGTTATTAATAAATTATATTAGTTTATCTATTGATAAAAAAATCGTTATTTGGTGTTAAAAATTATTCACTCAAATTGTTCAGATTTTTTTAGAAAATATAAAAAATTATTGTATATTTAAGAATTTAATTTTAAATACATGTCAAAATAGGTATTATAACTATTGTTTAAAATACAAACTTTATTTTTTAATACAAAATAATATAATTTTTTGTGTATTTCAAAAATTTTCATAATTTGCACTCAATTGAATATTTTTAATTTTTATAGTATTACACTGTATATATGTGTGTGAATACACTGCATAGTATGAACTGATAGATAATAGTATTATACTATTAGTATATTATACCGGTCATATTGATCAGTGATAAATTATCACTGATAATCATTGATAATGACATAAAATTATTTTAAAAATAATATTTTTGAAAAAATATTTGATACTACTATGTTATCGTTGATTGTTTTTAAAATTTATAATTAAAACTTATAGAATGTTAATCAAAAAACCATTTGATAACTAGAAATTAATTAATTTAATGAACATAAAGTTATTAATATAAGCTTAATATACTGTATAATAAATTTATTTAGATGCACAAACTAAACAAGTAATAATTTAAATAAACAATTAATCATTATAAAAATTTAATTTAACAATATATATTTTTTGAATATTAATTTAATAAATTTTTATTTTTAGTGTATTATAATTGTTTTTTATTTCTTTTATTGAATAAAAAATTTGAGTAAAATTTATTCCTAATTTTTATTAGTGAACTAGATTTTTAAGATAAGTTGTAAATTAAAGCTTAACTAAAATATATGATATTATTATAGCTTAGAGTATTGAATGGTTAAAAAGTTGATATCATTTATATTGATTTTAGTTAGTCGTCTTCATGAGTCATATTGAAAGCACTGAATTGGTTGAGATATGAGACCAGTTGTGGTGCAGTTGAGGCAATGGTGAGAGTTAGTGATAGGCATAGATAGCGAGATCGCACCGATTGTGACAATTTTATAGTTTTTTGGGTACTTTACATGTTTGGCTATAAATGGTTTACAGTATATCATTAATACGCTCACACAGTATAGCGATAATGGGATAGCAATGAGAGGCACACATCGTTTGAATTACTGGCAATCACAGCACTGGTATATCAGAGGTATCATCGCATACAGTATCATAAGTATCACAGGTATATCATAGATACTCGAGCACAGGTATCACTAGTAGTAAGTGAAGAACATGGAGAGTGGGGCGCCTTTTGGGATGTCTGTGAATGTAATTTACGAGAAGATGGACTGATATTTAGTTGATTTAGTTTTACAGCCAAAGGCTAGAATTGAATGCTATCACAGCTATAGCTATACATATAAAACACTAAATACTAAACACATATAACAAGAAAAACTAAAAGACTGTTCATCTCATATGATCAGTAAGTGTTAGGCGTGAAGAGGGGGCACTAAATTGTGACCACCTCTGCAATGGCTGAGCCCGTAGGGGTCGTCAGGGCTATGACGGGGGTCGTGACAGCTTATGGGCGCCAAACGGTCGCCTATTCATACAGTTTTTGGTGCCTTTACTTGGAGTCAAATGACATGAGGTATAAACTGATGAGTTTAGGCTCACATAAGGGCAGCACTTCTTAAAACAAATACTATAGTAATGTAATAGTAATGTATATTATAGTGACTGTAAATTCATGCATTCATAGGCAACACACAAAACATTAATACAGCTCTACTACAGCGATAATTTACAGTGTCTGCACTTTGAGTATCTAATTTAAACTTAACCTATGGCTTAGCCTGTTATGCCACCACTACCAGCACTGGCATCACTGGCTATATCAATGGCACTTATAGGCTGCTGATATGTGGCTCCAAGAAACCTGCCGGGCGTTGGGGGGCTTTCACAACACTCATTCACAATGTACACGAACCACAAACACACACACACTTACTCACATACCTGTGCCATATAACTTATGTGTCTATATCATGTTGTCAATAACATATTTTAGTGCACAAAATATTTGCTTTAATTTATGCACAATAAATGTTTTGTTATTTTCCCAAACCTTATTAAACAGTCAGTCCCTTACATTGCCCCAACAATACTTCATTTTCATAAATCTAACATATGTTGAAAATTATACAAAAAATATATTGTACACAACAAAAATATTTTAAATAATATAGTTTTTTATTTTTTTACGTATTTACTTATTTATAATAATTGTAATAATTAAATAATAATAATAATAATACATAGGAATTAAAATCATTGCTTGATTTTATACTAATGGATAATATTTATAATATTTATTTACTTTAATAATAAAATTTAGTTATTATTATTTGTTTTTTAATAAAGCTTACAGAAGCAACAAAAAATTGTTTCCCATATAATAAATAATGATAAAATAGTTTTAGATTACTTATCTAAATTGTGGGTTAATTTACATTATAATTTAAATAGCCTAAAATATCATTTCGATAACATAACTTTTTTATTGAAACTAATAAAAGTTTTATTTTGTTTTGACCATTGTTTTGACAATTGTTTTGTTGTTTAATTAAAAATGACATATATTTAAATATATTCATTACTGATGTCCTTTATGTCCATTAATGGTCGTCTTTTAAAAGCTTATCAATGGGTCGGTCACTTCTGTTGCAAGTTTGGCAACCATTAGTCTAATTAATAAAATTTATTTTAAAACATGTTTTTATTTAAGACGAATAGATTGTAATGACATGATTGTTGTGTATTTGATGAAAATGTATTTATATTAATGAAAAATATCGCTTTTAAATCGCGAATTAAACAAAAAAACATTTTTGCATTTAATAATTACATTCGATATCATAATCGAAAATTCATTAAAATATAAAATTTGAAAATAATTTTATAAACAAATGAAAAATAGGCGTTCATTTGGTATCTTTGAGGAGATTTGCCATTTGGATGATTGAGAGGGTGGCATAAGACCCTCTATTAGAAAATGTTAGCCCATTGTGACCATAGATGCGACCGGTTGTGTGATCACTTGTAATCACTATTTACAGATTTAACGACATTATTCAGAGCAGCCAATGTGTCGCGATTGTCTTGAACTGTCCTATCAATTGGTGACACTCTGTTGGCACAGTTAGTTGGAGGTGATTCACATGTGGAAAGCACTGAATTAGGTTTGCTGTTATTGAGTTGCGGTATGAGTTGAGGTGAAGTGTCAGTCCGATTGTTGGTAAGATCACTGCCGTGTTGTATATAAGCGTTGAGGAAACTCCTCGTATCAAAGCCTTTAAGCTCAAAGTTGCCAAATGGTAGGCCTGGCATCGGAACTCTCAGATCTAATGGATGAAAGCCAAGCGCATTGGGAAAGAAAGGAAGCGGTAGTGTTGATGGTCCGCAACCAAGTGTGCCGTTGCACGCGGCGTCTGAGCGCTGGTAGTATGAAGACAGAAATGGAGGCATAGCTCCTAAACCAGCAGTCAGTCGCGCCATTGCGGCGGCCTCTTCGGCGGATGTATTAGTTCCGTGAAATAAAGCTCCCGGTGCGCCATATAAGCGGGGTATACCAGAGGGAAAACCATACATCAGCTTATTGTTCAGTCCATTCGTATAATTCATATCCGATGAGTGATCGCTATTAATATCATTGCAATTGTTGGCTCCAAACTCTGTCACTTTTTCTTCTTTGTTTTGAACGACTGTACCTTAATTTATATCAATATTCATAAATTAATTTTATTATTTATTTTTATTTAATATATAAATTGTAATTTTATCAATTTATTAACAGAAAATCTATTATTATATATTTTCTTATAATGAGACTATTCTTTTAGTAAAATATAAGTTTTATTAAAGTTATATTATGTTTGAAAAACAAATAAAATTATTAAAAATCGTTTTATTTTATTATTCAAAAAAGTTATTTTCTAATTGAAAACAAACAAAACTTAAGATAAATATAAAATATTAGAAAAAACTATTTGAATATTTTTAAAAACAAATGTGTAAATAATGAATCAATGGGTAGTCCCTTATTTATGACATGTGTTTATAATCAAGATTTAATTATAAATTGAATTTTATTTTAATTTAAAATAAAATCTTAGATAATGAGTTAAACTTTTAAAACATAATGTAGTATTTTTCAAATTAAATATTTATTTTATTTATTAAAATATATTTTTTAAATGCATTTATTTGAAATGTGGTTAAACCAAAATTATTATATTTCACTTACAATAGCACTTTTCAAATTACTGTATATAATAATAAAGTTAATTTATCTTCAAAAAGATAAATTTTATTCAAATATTTTTATACAGTTTCAATACAATATCGCCTAAAATCATAGTTGAATTTATAATCAAATGCAATTCAATTTATGATTTTTTGTTCAATTTTATGAAAGCTTTTAGAAACAGTACTCTACAAACAATGAGATGAATTGATATTGAGATCATAGGTTTAATGTAGAGCACAAAAATAAATATTATATTTTAATTTTTACAAAAGCTTTATTTATGTATATATGTATGTATGTAAAGTTACATGTATGAGTGTGTATGAGTGTGTATGTATGTATGTTTGTGTGTGTGTGTGTTTGGCTTAGGGCTTTAAATTTTAGACTTTAAAATAAAAAGTAGTAGGAATTGTAAAATGTCTAATGAATGGCTCATTTCTAACTATTTAGCATTAGGAGTACATTACAAATATGATATTATTATTATTATAGTATTTTAGGAATTAACTAAATTTTTGTATACAATGTTAGAGAATATATAATGTATTTGATTGTAGTATTGGTATATGAGATGATAGTATAGAGAACTTCATTAATGATAGTTTGTGTGCAATATATATATATATATATATATATATATATATAGCTATTAGTGTATATATGAGGCAAACAATTAATTTTGTGAGCCATTTGTGAGGCAATGGTTAGGCACTGATGTATGCAATTGTGAGGCATTGGTGAGGAGGTCCTAAACAGAGGTTTGGCGCCATAAAACAACTCACGACTCAATTAATATGCATAAGAGTGCCAATACTGGCAGCAAATGCTTATATAAGCTAACAGTGTCTCATACTGTATGTAATGTTTGCAAATATATAAATAATATTAATATATTAATATAAACATACTGTATATGCTATTTAATATACAATGTGTTTCTGTAAATATATTGTAAATGAATGGTATGAGAGATGTAAACGGTTTTTAGCAGACATTGCTATTAATATTTGATAAAATAGTATAACATTAATAACTTTGATGTGAATGTGTGCTTAATATAGCATTAATGAAGTCAAAAAAAAGACTGAGACAACACTGACAGCACCCGACATCATAAGTATATACTGTAGTATAACCTAATATTACTATAGAGAGCACCGACATGTGAATATTGTCAATCCGCGCCCATAATAACGATAAATGCCATAAATTATATAAATTTATAAAAATGTTAGTCTTTGTCGTACGTCACGGACACTAATTATACACCAAAATCATCTAAAGTATGTCTTACATCATAAATGGCAAACAACATCCCCTATCCCTAAGCATTTGATGCCATACCAGACCACCGAAAGCGTAAATGTTAGGCAAACGATGCAACAAAACATTTCTCTTTTTAAAATAGCGGACAATATTTTTACAATGTTTTTGAACAAAATTTGCTGTAAATTTTGCACTGACATTGCGGTAGGCATTGGCACCGTAACTGTTCATAAGCTGCTCTCTCACTGTACTCAATGATATGCATTCTGAACTCAAACATAAAGATCTCATAGAAAAGGATGTAGAGTTAGAAACAAGGGATGTATTGCTGTCAATGCAGTGATGCGGGAAAGGCATGCAATCAATGCATTTTCTAAAGTAAACCATAGTTTTGCATACATTTGCTTAATTGGTACGATTCATACCAAATGTTATTTCTAGCAATTATAAGAGCATAGGGGCAGTAATGTCGGGTCGCCAGTGATGACCAAATGGTAACTACCATTTTGTTGGCTCATCTCAACTACATTCGTTTAATTGCACTTTTAATTCAATTATTTCTGGTTTCACATAGAGATTGACTGAATGAGTGGAAATAAGGGAGAAAGAGAGAGAGAGAGAGAGAGAGAGAGAGAGAGAGAGAGAGATTGCTGTTTGAACACAACTATCTGCATATATAATACATAGTTTGATGTCAACAATGTATGTCTAACTGTGCAAACCTTCTGCTTTGTCGGACCGATCCGATGAGCGGTCGGGAGTTTTTCTGGGAAGAGGAGAGTCGTCATCGATATCGACTCTTTCGTCGTCGTCGTCGGAAAAGTCTTTGTCATTATCTTTAAGTTTGTCTAACATTCCTGAAGTCATATTTTTCAAGTCGTTGTCGTTGTCATAATTAAGAGATCGACTATTATTCATACCAATCACTAATTGCCTGAAATTTAACACAAAATTAAAACATTAAATAAATTTAATTATAATTATTAAATAATCAAAAAATTATACTTCTTTTCCCTTTTTCCGGCTCCGGTTTCACGGAAGCCCTTAGCAAATGGATTGTTATCTATTTTTAATCTCGTTATCTATTATTAAGAGATTGTAAATAAAAATCAGTTACTTTTTTATTTGCTATAAAAACATGTAATTAGTGGTTAAATATGAGTGAAATGATGATCAATGATGTAATGGTTGTTATATAATATATATAATGTATAATATAATACCTTTTCATTTTGATATGCAGTGACTGCAATAAATTCAGTCTCTTTGAAGACATATGTCCTGAATGTACTGTAGGGTAGTTTTAAGAGGTCATTAGCTCTGACTAGATGGAAACGGGGCTGATATTTGTGCATCGAATTCAATATTGTCTGCTTTTACCAAATTAAGAGCTCAACAATTAGTTTAATTAAACTATTAATTCATTTATCAAATTAATAATACATACAAATCCGTGTTTATCTGCGATATTGTTTGTTAGTTTCAGTTTATGAAATGAGACCACTTTTTGCATCCATTGTTCACCAGTTGATGGAGAATCTGGATGTATATACATTCGCTTAGGCATTTCGGGATCAGCCTTACCGGCCATAACCCAACGCGAATTGTGAAACTTATATCTGCAGTCATCGGCGGCCACTATATCCATAAGCATTATATATTTGGCCTTTTTATCCAAACCCGAAACACGTATACGAAATGAGGGAAACATTCTATGTATTCAAAACATTAAAAATTATACTTATTTTGAATATTTATTAATGAATGCAATTACTGACTAAACGTGTTTTACATAATAAGCCAACTTTTTAGAGCCGACACATACATACAACTAAATAAATATAGTGTTTAACCCTTTGCTTTCTCACTTAATTGTAATTAAATAAGTGATTAAATATATACAACCAGTTGTTTTGATGTAATTGTTTTTAAATGATTTAAATGCTAATCTCAGATTATATGTCTTTACTAAATAGCTTTGTTTTGTTAGTCTTTCATTTAAATAATATTGATTTGTTTATTTGCTTTCAAATTGATATGAATTTATAAATCATTAATTGGTTGACAGATTAAAAGCGAGGCATATATTATACTCATAGGTTATAATATAATGTACAACATATACAATAATAAGCAGTAAATTATATATACTGTATATATGTATACTGTAAATGACAATTATTATAAAAGCGTCAAATGGCAATACAATAAAAGCTAGTTTTAATAATTAGTTAATATTTTTATTAAATGTAAGTTCATTTGAGTTATAACTTATAACATCTTTGTTATTATTCCTTTTAATATCAATAAAAATAATTAAAAAGAAAAGTGCAATCATTTAATAATTGTTGATAATTACAACTAAAATGCACACTAAATGTATAATTATAAACAATATTTTTTTACAGAATGACAACCCATTATTTAACTAAAGGATACAATTAACAAACGAAATGATGAAACAATTTATATATAAATATTTCTATGTATGTATGTATGTATGTATGTATGTATGTATGTATGTATGTATGTATGTATGTATGTATGTATGTATGTATGTATGTATGTATGTATGTATGTATGTATGTATGTATGTATGTATGTATGTATGTATGTATGTATGTATGTATGTATGTATGTATGTATGTATGTATGTATGTATGTATGTATGTATGTATGTATGTATGTATGTATGTATGTATGTATGTATGTATGTATGTATGTATGTATGTATGTATGTATGTATGTATGTATGTATGTATGTATGTATGTATGTATGTATGTATGTATGTATGTAATGCATAAAATAGATGATAAGGATTAAGACATAATTAACTGTAGATTTGATTGTTAGAATGTAGTGATTATTATATAATAATATAGTCGTTGATAATAAATATGAGTTCTTTGGAGGTCCATAACCAGCACCAGTATAACCAGTGCTCAACAACAACTGCATAACAGCATCACTGGTATGACAACATCACACAAGACATGACATAACATCACTTTTTTAGCTCTATATCATCTATTAATGCAATGGTAATGCTTAACTGTCGGCTTAATTCATTGATAGCCCTGTGGGCCAAACCTGCGTCAGATATGAATAGGTGGGACAAACCTAACCAACCTTTTTGTTGTTAATAAGCATTAGTTTTATGTACCACCCGATTATGTTTAATCCAAAACTCAATAATTGTATATACATTTTGACATATAATCATAAAGAGATTCTTTTCAATTGGCTGTCAATGCATTAGGGCTGTGCTGTGCTATGTTTGTGCTCAACGTTATACACATAACAGTATATTCTGTACCTTTAAATTATGCTTATTCTGTGACATTAGACTCTCATACATATTGCATATATTCATAGATTAATTGTTTACACTATGAATACATACATATATATTCATATCCATAAATGTATTCATAGTATTGATAGACTGAATGACTGCACTCATAATATAAAGCATTTCATATAATAATAGGTTTGTGCAGACAATTGCTATATAAAGGATGTCATTTGATTTGTCATCCATTGTTGAAAACATATAAAATACACAAATATAATACATAGACATAACATCCAATGCAACACCAGCTCCACAGTTGATCCACTTATCATTGCTTATCATTTCATATTTCTCTGATTACCCAAAACTCTAAGCCAGACTACCTCTCAACTGTCGGCTTTCATACTCCCTGTTCTCACTCATCTCTCATATCAATAGTATCGATGGCTCAAAATATTGTCATATCTCTAGAAGCGATGCATTCATGCGTGTGTCCAGTGCTTCACCACTACTTCAAAGTTGTGTCCATTGTTTTGAGCCCTTCTTCACTAACAATCAAATGATGCGTTCAGTATATATCAGTACATATAGTAAGCAATTCACCACTAATTCAATGCCAGACCAGACACACCAGTGATATTCATAATTGAAATCTACAACTATTTTATTAATATAGTCTCTGGCTTTCAAAAAAATATCATAACTGCTTATTATATGAGTTATTGTGTTTTGACTATTCATATATCTTTCAATAATAATAATAATAACCAATTGAAGCAAATAAGCTCTGCTTTTGTTCAAAATATTTATTATTATCATATTATACAGAAAAAGGTTTGCTCTGAAAAAATCAATAATTTGCCACAACTTTTGTCTCCTTTTTATACGTGAATTATGTCTAAAAATGTCTATTCTTTAAAATTAGTGACCAAAATAACTAAATTTTGTTAAAAATTTCAAAAATATATAATCCATAAAATAGCCTATAATATTGTGCATAAAAATTACTTATTCAGTATAATTTACAATAATATTAGAAAAATATATAATATATATATATATTTATATATTATATACATATATTTTGTTAGCAAATGTCAAATAAAGCAAACAAATGACTGAAAACAGCGGCAGTCAATACACTAATGAGAAAATAGAGTGATATTAAGTGAGTCTCAACACTAATATAATAATAATTTATTGATTGAAATGTGCGTTAAAAATGAATTTAATGTCCAATCATTATACATATCAAATGCATTATTTCTTCATTAAATATTTATTTTGTTAAAATGTTTATTCATTCAAATTATATTAAAAAATAAAATAAAAGCTGAGAAAAAACATTACTTAAATCATATAAAACACAAATTTGAAGTTCAATTTATTAGATATTTTATTTATTACTTATATTTTCTTTATTGGAAATATATATATATATATCTTGAATAACAAATGCCCTCAAGCCTTTTTTAAAGTGATAACTTTTGTATAAAAAACAAAAAATAATTAATTTAAGTCATGAATATAAATGCTGCCAAACTACTACTACTACTAATAATAATAATAATAATAATAATAATAATCATACATGTATTGGAAAGTTCTAATATTATCATAATAAGAAAAATAATATAAATAAAAAAATTATTATTATATTAATATTACATTTTTTAGATATTCAATTCACGCCTTTAATCAAAAGATAATTTCTATTTTGTTTTTATCGACAAGTTTTAAAATTTGTCTCAAAAAAATAAAATTGTTTCTAATGTAGTGAATAAAGTATAATATAATATAATGTATAGTTAAGTAAAGCAAATAAAAAATTGAAACACTTTTTCAAATAAACCCAAAAACTTATTTAAAATTATATGTGTTTTGGCAATCGTTTTGAGTTCCAGTAATAAAATAGTATTACAATAATTACCAAACAATTCTCAAAACAAATAAAACTGTTTTATGTTTCACAGCATTACCTGTGCTGTTAAGTGTGAGATGAGATAAAAGTATGGGAAAACTGTTGATTTACTAGACATAAGGCAAGGGATGTCCGCCAATGTTGTTCCCCAGCACTTGCACTATCATATATATATGTACACTAAAATATCTCAGGAGATTGTGTCCGAAATTATATATAAAAAGAGGGAGATATCCAACATATTTTCAAATAGTATTATAAATGTAATGAAAAAATAAAGGCCTTTTGGGTATAAAGTTAGAAAACAACGACTAATGTGACAGTAAATAAATGGACTCTTGTTTTGTAAATTTTTTTCAATATATTCACTATAAAATTTAGGCAATGGTTGTTATATTAAACAAAACTAAATATACAATAAAAATAAATTTAGAATTTTTTGTTATATATTGTATTAATAATATATAATTTCCTAAAATTATTAATTAGAGGATGTGGTTTTAACAAATATTTATATATTAATAAATATATTCAAAAAATACAGTAATTGTGATGCCATAATTGCTAAATAAGCAGATCATTAAATTATTATAATAATTTAAATATACATATAATTACGTTATTTTAATGTGGTATTCAACAAAAATAGCATAAACATCTGTATTTCAAATAACAATTTTATATATCGTATATATAACTAATTATTTTATTTATCGTCAAAATTCTTTGTTCTAAATATTTTTTAAAGAAATTATTTTAATGACTTATTCGCCAAAAAATATTTCTAATTTTCAAAAGATTTTTTGAATTCCTAAAAATAAAATCTTGCATTTGATTTCTCGTAAACCGTGTAATTCAATAAAAAACAATAACATATACTGTAACCGATGAAAGCAAATCGTAAAAATGTTTATTACTTAACGCATTACTTTTTAAAATTAAGTTTTTTCTAAATAAACATTATTTTTGATTAATACAATCAACACTTTTGATAAAATGAGAGCTCGTTTTTAGTGTTTCAGTTCTCACTGAATAACAATCGATAAACTCATCAAAAAACACACAAAACTTATTTCTCTCTCTCTCTCTCTCTCTCTCTCTCTCTCTCTCTCTCTCTCTCTCTCTCTCTCAACGCAAACTCATATCTATCTAAACAAACACATGAAAACGTTTTTTAAAATTCAAGGAATTTTTCTTAAGGCAACCAATTATTTAGATAAGAATTATCTGTTTCTACAAAAACCTTATATTTTTATATTCTTTGCACATCTTAGACAAGAATTTAATTTTATATATTTTTTTAAAAATTAAATGATAGGATGTCTAACAGTGAGTTTGATTTTATGTCATCTAATTATAAGATAATATAAAACTCAAAATAATTAACAAATATGACACTTAATATCACCAACAAATAAATATAAGCTACTTTAAACATTTGATATTAACGTATCAAAAAAATGTTATTTATTGTTGAAACATATGATATGATATA